GCCCTATATATTCGCAACACTCCCCGCCAATAAAAGAGGCTTGATCAGAATCCTGTCTTGCCTCCATTCTTCGTGTCTCTTGTCCCTTTATAATCCCCACTCCCCTTCTAGGGTCCTAGTTGGCTGTACCTGCGGGCAGGAACAGGGGTTCAAGCAGGCCACAGGAATTAATGCCAGCCCTTTCAGATTTAGTCTCTTTGGAAAGCTACACAGACCAGTCTGGCTTCTCACCATGGAGGGCAGGGTCCACATACCTTCCCCAGCCTGAGTGTCAATCTAATGAGCCTGCACCCTCTCCACAACTGTCTCTCATGCCCATGTACAGCCCAGTTCTTTTGTTCTTAATTTATGTTATATATGTATGTTTCCAAGTATCAGCCAAAGACACCTGAACAGAATCTGGATCACCCACATTTTGAGTCTTTCTTCTGGGATCCTCCCCTCACTTTGCAGTGGCTGTGACTGGCCTGAGATTTTAATCATGTCAAACACTCATGTATTCTAGCAAATTATCCCCTTCTATCACAAAATTTAAGCCTGTCCTAAGGCTAAACCCTGTAAAAATGTGATTCAACCCCCTATCATTCCCTTTCTTCAAGTTTCAACTCTTTCACACAGTCTGTCTGCTTTCATAAATTCTCTAGCACCTTTGGGGCCCAGTGTGCATGTACGCGCGTGTGCATGTGCACACGCGTTTGTCTAGAGTTTATCATTTTCATCTGTGTGAGGGTCATGCCTACTATGCATCTACTTTGCCATAGCAGTAAAATTAATCCATAAAAATATAAGTTATTTAGAAAACATAAAACTTAAATCTAAATCCATGATTCTAAAAGAACCACTGTCCATGCAATGATAATATGTACTTTTCAAACAGAGGTATATGTATTAACCTAGGGCTGTACAGGGTTAAGTTGCTGAACAAAGAGCCCTCTGGCTATGTTAGAAAAGAGAATATGCATGGTGCTCTGAAGTCAAGATAACTACAGCTGAGACAGCAAAGGACATGGGCTGCTGACACCCCTATTCCAGAGCAATAAAGCTGCCAACCTTAGAGATCAAGCAGTCTTCTTAACTGTCAAAATTTACTGCTTAGAGAGTCTTTGAACTAACATCCCAAGGATGCTCAGTTCCTGGGCTTGCATCAGTACCCGATTCCTGTTTGAAAACCAAATAAATATGGACTGGCCGGTGGAATTCTTTGTCTTTACTCCTGAGAGAGAGTGCTGACCCTAGACACTCCAGAAATCATACTACTGGTCTCTTTTATTTATGCTGTTTGTTGTCCACTCCTTTAGGAGACTGGGGTTATGTCAAGACCCCAAAGTAGATGGATAGATAAATAGCTAGCTAGCTAGCTAGCTAGCTAGACAGACAGATATACAGACAGATAGATAAGTTTAAATTTTTGGTTTTTTTTTCTGGTACCGGGAATTGAACTCATGACCTCGGGCTAGCCAGGCAGGTGCTGTGCCACTGAGCTAAATCCCTAGCCCTGATATGTTTAAATTGAGATCTTAATGTACATATCATTTGGTAATCTGATTTTTACTTAACTATTTAAGATATAGTTTTGCTAATCACTTAATTTTTCAATGTCCATGTTTTTCCTTTCTTTACTGTAAAGTTTAAGAAACAAGGAAGGTGAAGCAGGGGGATTGCAAGTTCAAGCCCAGCTTGGGCAATTTAATGATTTAGCAATACCCTGCCTCCTATTAAAAAATTAAATGGCTGGAGATTTGGCTCTGTGCAAAGGCCATGGATTCAACCCCCAGTACCACAGGAAAATGAGGAGGAGGGGGCTGGGAGAAGAAGAAAAAGAAAAGGAGAAGAACAGGCTAAAGATTCCATTTTTCAAGCTACTCTGGAAATTAAGAACGGTAGTATGCCACATATGGTCAATAAAATGTTAGCAAAATGTGATGAAAAGGGGAATGGGTGGAAAAGTTTTGTTTTCTTCAATATTAGATTATTCACTTGATGCTTGGAGATGCATCAGTAAACCACATTCATAACTGAAAATACAAGATTATTTACATTTCTTAAGTATAATGTGAAATCATGATTTTAGTGTCATATTATTTCATTTTATGAAGGTGTCATTATTCAATTTATTAGAAGTACGTATTATATCTGATATCTCTTTGCTCTTTGTTAAACATTACAGCACAACCTGATTATGTACCATAGAATATATTCATACAAGCAGGATTGGGACATTTTGAGATTTGACATATACTGTTCTGATTTTAGTAAGCTGTACAATCTTTACTACCAAAAGTAGTATGTTTTCTACTTCTCTTGCAAACCTAATTATTTGTAAAATCTTGACTTAATAACGAGGTTTTTTTCCCTCTTTTTGTCAGTCAGAGGAGTTTAAATCTTTTTCTCCCTTCTATCTTCAGACTCTAAAAGACATGCTTGGAATGCTCTTTCAAATTCTCTTGCTACTTTGCTGTTACTACCAAGTGACAGTACTGCCACCTCCCCAATATTTTCACCCATACTCCCTGTTTTGGCTTTTGTTATCTGATGATCTTTCATACTGTATTATTATTTTTTGTTTTTTTTTTGTTTTTTTTTTTCTGGTACTGTGAATCGAACTTATGACCTTGTGCTTGCCAGGCAGGTGCTGTGCCACTGAGCTAAATCCCCAGCCCTCTATATTTATTTATTGTCTATCTCCCCTGTAGAATTAAGGTGTATGAGGAAAGACATTTTTTATTCTGATTTTGTTAATTGCACTCTATGACTTACAATAGTCCTTACCAATAATTAGTGTTATTGTATAAATATCTCAAAAAGTTAATAATTTATTTTATGGATGTATGTCTCATTTATATGTTAAATAAGATCTTAGATCTTAGAAACAGTTTAAACATATTTTTAAAATTAATTATCAGTGATTTAGATCAATAGCTCTTAAGAGTATGGTTCCCAACAGCAGGACCTATATATCCTGGCAACTTATTTACACATGCAATTTCCTCCGTCTCAACCTCAGAGCTTCTGAATTAATACATCTGTGTAGGAGTCAAGAATTTACATTTCAAAAGTCCATGTTTTAACAAATCCTTCAGGCAATTTTGATTTACACTAAAGATCATGTATCACTGATTTAAACTCATTTCTGTGTGTCTATTTTTTAACTCTGCTCATATCCAGGGTTTGTTAGAAATCACTTCTTCATTTGTTGATGTTCAATTCCACTCATTTCACTGTACAAAATGGCATGTAGCATTCATTTTTATTGTTCAGGTATACCTATTTTCTGACTGTACCTGCATGGCACTATTATGAGTTCTCTCAGAGTTGTGGAAATTCAACGCAGCCATAACCTGTAATGTATTTATCCTTCTAAAAAATGCAGGTTTACTAAGCATCTGGATAATGATGTTCTCTGCATAGTGCCACATTTCCATTTGGCATGAAATTACTGATGTAGTGGCTTTTGCATTGCATTTTCTTGTCCTAACAGTTTTTTTTTTTTTTTTTCTGGTACTGGGGATCTAACTCCTGACCTTGCGCTTGCTGGGCAGGCGCCGTGCCGCTGAGCTAAATCCCCAGCCCCTTGTCCTGAGAGTTAAAAAGTTACTTGGAAATGACAGCACAATATCCATTAGTTCACCTTTCAACCCACATGTCTGTGTGTATGTGTGCATGCAAACACACATTCCATCCACAATATTGAGATTTTTTAATTTTCTGAAATGAGGAGATTAGAAACACAGGAACTTAAATTGAAACACTTGAAGATGACATTTAATCACATATTTGTTTAGGGTTCATTATTATGCTAGACTATACTTGGGAAATATTAATTAAACAGAATTTAACAGGACAAGAGAAGCCTTGATAACAGACCGATATATTTGTTCTGAGGAATAAATGAGATAATATAGTGAAGTGCTGTAAAAAATACAAAAGGCAGCATACATATCACATATTATATTTTTAGGTTACATATAAACAATATTATATTAAAATATTAATACAATAATTTACAAAACCATTTTTGTACCATGTCTGTGTCTGTAGTATAATAACTTAAATTTTAAAATATATACTGCAGGTATATATTTTTGTCTAGGAGTCAAGAGTAAAAAACAAAAAAAACCACCTTAGGTATGCAATGGCAAGATGGTGTCTTGTGCAAATTCAAACTGATTCAGAGTATCTTCTGGAATCCATGCTTAAGAATCTTCTGGGGTCAACTCTGGGTACACTCAGAAAGAGTGCAGTGATTCATTAAGTATGTTATTGGGCAAGAACAGAATATGGTGGCATTTTTTTTCAATACATTTGAAGTCCCTGATTGAGGTGTTTCTGTATTAGGACACTGAGCATGAGATAATGGAGTGCTTGTTCAAAACAAACTACTGCACTTCACCTGCAATCACAATTCATCTTGAGTTTTTAATAAAATAGCATACAGAAGAAACACAGTGCTGTTACATTTGTAATTCATTATGTTATTAATGGTCTTGTGTTTGATAAGTCTTTGTGAATTCAATTATATGTTTAATGCCATACAGCTCAGATTCATGATCATTCATGAAAAAGCATAGGAACCATGATAATTTGTCAAACATCATGCAGTTGGCTCAATGATATTCTTAAAGTATTAATTTATGCATATTAAAAGTATTTTAATTGTGAGAATAAATGCACATATATGATAGATATTTAAACAATATATTAAAGAAGAGGTCTTATTCCCAACCCACACAGCATTCCTATACTCCTGTGTCCAATGGTGACCACTATTAAGTTTCTGCTGGACTTTTTTAACAAAATCTATTTATATACAAATATATTAATATATACATACATACACACACACACATACAGGTAAACACAAGTTCTTTTATACAAAAATAGAAACAATGTATACATAGTTGAATAATCTAATTTTTTACACTCACCAATGTATTTATATCTTTAGATTTATTTTAATTTTGTTTATTTTTAGATTAATAAAAAGCATTTTATAAAGCTTTCTGCTAATGCAGAAGCCAATTTAGATATTAATTTAAAAAACCTGGATAGAATATAAAAGAGGCTTATACAATAGCCATCCTTATTTATACAAAGCAATATACAGATATGCAAATTCAATTCTAATATGTGGTGCTTAAGTGCACAAGATCTAAGCAACACAAATTATTAGCATATGCAACTTGCTTCATCATTGCTTTGATTATTCAATGCTTAAAGCTTTATATTTCATATGTAGATCATTTATAACTTTTTCACAAATATGCAGATCACAAATATGTAGATCACTTATAATTTTTTAAAAGAATATTTTTGCTAGGCATGGAGGCACATGCCTATAGTCGCAGCACTCAGGAGACTGAGGCAAGAAGATCACTGCAAGTTCAAGACCAGCCTGGGCTACATAGTAACTTCAAGGCCATTCTGACCTAAAAATAAGGCCCTATTTGTCTCAAAAAAAAAATTTGTTTTCTGTAACTTGGTATCACATTACAACCCTTATTTCCATCTATTGCTTCTATATGAAGATCCACATTCCAATTTGCTAACGTATAACATGGTGTGACTTCTCACCAGAGATTTTCTAATATTCTCTAAATTTAGAATACATATTTCTAACATTAAACACAACAGTTATCAGATTTCCACAATTGATTTCATTTATGAGCTTTCTCTTCTAAATGAGTTTTCATATGCTTAATAAGTGATGCATTTTGTTTGAAGGCTTTCCCACATTCATTACATTCATGGGGTTTCTCTCCTGTATGGGCTCTCTGATGTACAACAAGCTGTGACTTTGCACTGAAAGCTTTTCCACATTCATTACATTCATATGGTTTCTCACCTGTGTGAGTTCTTTCATGTACAATGAGATGTGACTTTTGACTAAAAGCTTTCCCACATTCATTACATTCATATGGTTTCTCCCCAGTATGAACTCTCTGATGTTGAGTAAGGCCTTCAATTTGTTTAAAGGCCTTCCCACATTGATTACATTCAAAGGGATTTTCACCTGTATGAGTCCGCATATGGTAAGTAAGAGATGAGCTATGTCCAAAGGCTTTTCCACATTCATCACATTTATAAGGTTTCTCTTTTGTATGAGTTCTTTGATGTATAATGAGGTGTGACTTTTTGCTGAATGCTTTCCCACATTCATTACATTCAAAGGGTTTCTCACCTGTATGAATTCGCATATGTTTTGTCAGGGATGAACTATATTTAAAACCTTTGCCACAGTCATTACATTCATATGCTATTTCACCTGTGTGAGTTCTCACATGTTCAGTAAGAGATGAGTTATACCTGAAAGATTTTCCACATTCCTTACATTCATAAGGTTTTTCACCTGTATGAGATCTCACATGTTGAATAAGGTTTGAGCTGTGTCTAAAGGTTTTGCCACATTCAGTACATTTATAGGGCTTTTCCCCAGTATGAATTCTTAGGTGATCAGTAAGGGCATGTTTATGACCATGGGCTTTGCCACACTGAGCACATTCATATGGCTTTTCTCCAGTATGAGTTCTCTGATGTACAACCAGGTGAGACTTCTGGCTAAAGGCAATTCCACATTCATCACATTCATATGGTTTCTCCCCTGTATGAGTTCTGTGGTGGTCAATAAGTCCTTGTTTATGGCTGAGAACCTTCCCACATTGATTACATTCATAAGGTTTTATACAAGCTTGACTTTTATCAGTCTTAGTAGATGATGTCTCATGTTTTTCTTGCATTTGGGTTTTGTCTTTCTTAGTACAGGATGAATGATGATCATGTAATTTCTCTTGTTTATTGCCAGTTTGAATTTTGTCACACTTATCAGAAGAAGTATGGTTAGATAATTTATCAAGTTTCTTTCCAGTTTGATTTTTGTCTTTCTTTGTATGAGACAAGCCATGCTTTAATGATTTCCTGTGTTCTTTAGCAACATCAGGTTTCTTTTTTGCAGTGTTTTTTACATGACCAGGTGAGGCTATATTCTGTTTCAAATTCTTTGCATGTGAATCAAATTTAAACCTTTTCTTTGAAGGACTATGTTTTGTACTCACATTATTTTTTTTCTCCAATGAAGTATACTCACTGTCTTTCTTCTTAGTTGGAGTTTTCTTCAATGCAACTTCCCCAATGAGTTTGTCTTGAGATTTCTGGTTATTCTGTAGCTGGTCATCACCTTGTTGAACTTCTAAAACAGAATTTAATGACATACTCTTATGAATTTTCAAATACTAATGTAAATTCTTTGTAAGATTTAGAAATATTCTACTGTGATGTTGAAAGAACTATCAAGAGCAAATGTCCATATCCTCTTAGACTTGAGGGGATAAACGTTGCAATAAAACCAGGGAAAGAAAATTAATAACAGTGATTAGAAACAGGTTTGACAGCTTAAAAATATGACCCTGAAACCTGGGTTAAAAGATGAAATAAACATAAGGACTGTTAGCGTTTGTGTCTGTTAGATGTCCCTACAAAGCCTCATGTGGTCATATGTGGGACTTTTTAAAAGCTAGATCTGGAGCTAGATAGGGAGTGTGTAATGCTGGAGTTAAGTGTGTGATGCTGGGGTTAAGTGTGGGATGCTGTGATGTAGGGTATGTGATTACTAAATTAGTTGATTGGTTTGCCATAGTTCTGGGTGTGGATAATGGAAAACCCCACCCCGGAAGTGAGTACTACCTACCTTAAGGACATGTGGCCTGGATAGAATATAAGGAACAGAAAGAGGGTTGCTGTTGTTGCTTGCTGCTGCTGCTTCGCTGCTTTGCTACTTCACTGCTTTGCTACCTTCTTCCTGGCATGAACGATTACTCCTCTGTGATGCCCTTCTACCATGCCACCCTGCCTTGGAGCCAGCCCACTATAAACTGAAACCTCTACAAACCATGAGCTACAGTAAAATTTCCTCCTTTAACTTTGGGTGTCCAGTATTTTGCCTTAGCAACAAGAAAGGTAACTAAGACAAGGAACATCAAATAGAGAATAAATGAAGTTAAAAGAGCCTGGGATTATAGCCAACACTTTCTGAATCTCTCCTCAATCCTAGATGCCCAGATCTAAAAAAATGCCAATTTACCATAATATTTACTGTCTGTGGCTTGTACTATATTACCCCACCTCTGCATATTCAGTTGTAAACACATCTGGTTCAATCCAAGGTATCCAATGAAATTCTTCCTCCCAAAAATGTAGGCTCTGACCAGGCACAATGGTACATACTTGTAATCCCAGTTATTTGGGAGGGTGACACAGAAGAATTACAAGCTTAAGGCCAGCATGGGCAACTTAATGAAAAATTATGTCAAAATAAAAATTTAAAAGGCCTAGGGGTATAGCTAGTGGCAGAGTGTTTGCCTGGCATTTATGAGGTCCTGGGTCCAGTCCCCAGACCACTAAAACAAATTTGGACTTTATGTGATCTCCACTCACTGCTTAAATTTTAAAATGATACAAGACAGGTACTAGTAAGGCCACATTTTCTCTATATGATCAAAAACTCCTCAGGACAAAGAATGAAGCATAAACAGAGAGAAACAGAAATATAATATTTTACATGCTTAAGGACACTACTTGCATTTCATTTCCCAGTGGACTCCCAGTTCCCTGTTCTAGTTCCTAGTGAGATCTGGCTAAAATACCTCTCCTTAGATTACAAGAGATACACCCATATTCTTATCAGAAATTCCTCTGTTTAATAAGGCTAACTAAAGTAAACTAGGATAGAAACTATAAGATAAGCCTACTAAGGAGTACTAATATATGACTGAGGAAATAAGCAGAAACAGGTGTTCCACTATTACTTGTTGCAATGCTACTGTACTGTTGTTAAAAAAAAAAAGCACCTTACAGTTCCTCAGTTCTCTGAGGACTTCACAAAATGATAAAATTCACAGCAAAGAGCTCAGCAAACAAACTTCACAGCATCTGGATTTACAGTGTACATGCACTCCAACAGTTTTCCATGGAACAAAGAACATTTTGTTCTTTTCAAGTCATTATAATTGCCAACTATAAATGTTAAGTTTATCCCTACCTCTAATTAGTTGCTCATATTCTTACCCTATACATTACATAATTATATATTTTGAATTATACTCTCAATCATTGTTTCCCTTCTCTGAGACCATCACCCACAATGACAGGTATAGGAAGCCATGTTCATACTGTAGGATCCAACTTCTTACTGAAAACAATTATTGAACAGTGGTAAACACCAGGCCCTAAGTGGTTCAATAATATTTTTCTTCTAAGAATTTGGGGTTGAGATTCAAACACTTTGGCTAGCTAAATATAGATATTGTATGTGTAAACCTATAAACTTAAGAACTAGGGATGCCATTTGGGGGTGGTCTTTTCAGCTATATGTATGGGAAAGCAGAAAAAGCTTCAAAGTGAGAATTAAAAACACTAAAAGAGTCCCCACAATTTGAAAAAGGCAGAGGAAAAAAGTGAACAGCCACTCTTGTGGTAAAAGAAACACTGGAAAAAGTACAAACTGGATTTGATCAGAAACAAGTTATGGTACTGAATAGACAGCCAGGAAATACTATCACTTTAATGGTGAACATTTAAGAGATTAGTTTCTATGGAGTAGATCAATTTTCAGAAGAACTGATATAGTAAGGAATCCACAAAAGTGTAGTTAGTTGCTAGCTGCTTTTTACTTAGAAAGTATTATGAGTTACAGCACCTTAGGAGAAAGAGTTTAACAGAATTTCCCATGTATCATGACAAGGCCATGTCTTCCAATGGCCAAGGATGATGAGGAAAATGGGGGAAATTCTTTTCAAGGTAGAAAAGGAATCAAAACTCAAAGCCTTCCCCTTGCCATGTTATATTATAAGCACCTCTTATGATAAGTTGGGCTGATCACAACTGACATCTCCCACCAAAAAAAAGATAGAATGCACTAAAAGAAAAATTCACATGAGGAAAAGGAAGAAAATCTGAATGAGAGAACTGGTATAATAACAGGGTCACACTGGAGAGAGTTGAGTCTGGCAACACATTTGATTAGGGTTGGAAGATTTCTTGAATTTGAGATAGCAACTGAAACATGGATTTTAAGCTAAAACAACTATTATTTCAGAAGCTACAGCATGGAGCTTACTAGACCAAGCAAGCCATTGGAGGGAATAGAATATGCCTTTCTTAAACAACCTTCAAAAAGCTCATAAAAACCTGAACCCAGAAAATAGCGTAGCAATGATAAAGTTTTTTTTTATTTTAAAGAGTAAAAGAAGGATAACAATAATAGGGGGGCTTACCAAATTACAGACAAAGTGGTAGGAAATTATCAAT